AATTTTATTTGCAGTTTTTTTGCAATACCTTTTGCCACACTCACAATATTTTGACGAACAACCTGTATTTATGAAAGATCTTATATTGTACAACTGTAGAAGCATTTTGCAAATATATATAGTGGGTGTTTCATAAAAATGAAACAGGCGGACATGGATTTTTTTCTCATTTCACTACCTACTTTCCTACAATATTTATTGAAATCTCTTGATGAAAATTTATATAGTTAACCAGACGCTTTCTTTGAAAATCCATATACTGGATGTTCTACATAGAATGACCCAGGTCAGAATTATCGGTCCAGAGGCTTCTGTATATTTCAGAAATTTATTGATGGCGATATTTTTATGAAAAATCTTATATTGTAGAACTCGGAAGCATTTTGCAAATTTATATACTGACCGTTTCATATAAAAATGAAACAAGCGGACCAGGATTTTTTCTCATTTCACTACCCACTTTCCTACATTATTTATTGAAATCTCTTGATGAAAATTTATATAGTTACTAATCAGACGTTTTTTTTGAAAATCTATATACTGGATGTTCTACATAAATTGACCCAGGTCAGAATTATCGGTCCAGAAGTTTCTGTATATTACAGAAATTTCTTGATAGCAATATTTTTATGACAAATCATATCTTATTAACCAGATGTTTTGTACTGGATGTTTCATAAAGCTGAAACAGGTGGTCTAGGCTTTTTTACTTCCTCTACTAAAACGTTTTGAAGAAAACTGACCATTCGCTTTTTGAAAAATCCATATACTGAAAATTGAGCCAGGTCTGATTAACAGGCAAAATTTTCTTTTCTCTTTTAACTTTATTTTTACTTACTGAAGGCTTTTAATGAAAAATTGTATATTTACTAACCAGATACCTTTTTGGAAGTTTATACTGGATGTTCCAAAAAATGATCCACTTCAAAATTATGAGAAAGTGAAACTTATTTTTTCCCATTTCTGCCTTACCTACGTACTGAAATCTTTGAATGAAAAATTGTCTATTTATAACAAGATACTTCAGAATTAGGAGAGTGAACCTTATTTTTCCCCATTTCTGACTTACCTACGTACTGAAGTCTTTAGATGAAAAATTTTATATTTACTAACTAGATACCCTTTTGGAAGTTTATACTGGATGTACAAAATGATCTACATCAGAATTGAAACCAAAACAAAAAGGCGGCAGACCAGATTTTTTTTACCCTTTTTATCTTTTTCTAC